CCCGCCTTGACAAATATTTTATATTTTCAACAGAAATAAAAAAAATTAAATTAAACCAAGCAAGAACTGAACTAAACGAAGGAACATGTAATAAACGTAAATCCGCTTAGGAACTTACAAATTGGAGTACCTTAACATACACAAACAAACGCTTGCGCTCTAAAGTCTTACCTCTTAANTCTGTTAGTCGTCTACTAAAGGACAAATATTAACAATAGACCTTTTATATGTCCCTTTATTACTACGCACAGTAACCGCTCGTACAATATTATCCGAACCAGGATGTATTTCAACAACCCTAGCTAGCGTCCATTTTAAAGGCATCGTATCGCTCTCTTTTAACAAAACTAACTGTCCTATTTTTATTTTATTATGAGTGTCAGTTTTCCACTTGGTTCTCTGCTGACAAGTTGACAGATATTCCCTTTTCCATCTAGTCCAGAAGTGCTGTTTTATTTGCTCTACATACTGCCATCTGGATAATCTATTCATCTTAATTTCTCGTAAATCAAATTCAGGAACCGACATGAGATTTTCTCCAATTATAAAATGTCCAGGCGTTAACGCTCTTAAATCTGTTGGATCATCTGATAACGGCGTTAACGGTCTTGAGTTTAGTATAGCCTCTATCTGCGTCAATACTGTGATCATTTCCGTTACAGTAAGGCAGGCATCTCCTACAGTTCGTTTTAGATGTCGCTTCATAGAACGAACTGCTGATTCCCACAAGCCACCAAAATGGGGAGATCTTGCTGGTATAAAATGCCAAGTGATTTGNTCAGCAGTTGCGAATTCCGAAATGTCCCTCTTGAACTCCTNACTTTGATACAGTGCTTGAAATTCTCGATTGGCGCCAACGAAGTTTGTGCCGTTGTCGGAATACACATTTCTTACCTTTCCTCTTCGTGCCACAAATCGTGTGAATGCTGCTATGAACGATTCCGTAGTTAAATCTTCAACCAGCTCAATGTGTATTGCCTTCGTAGCCATGCAAATAAATAGGGCTACATAACATTTGTACTTTTTGCTGTTCTTACGTATTCTGTCGCGCACGTAGAAATGACCACAATAGTCCACCCCAGTATTACAAAATAGTCGAGCTTCATTAACTCTTACTGGTGGTAGTTGACCCATAATTTGATGAATCAGTGTAGGATTTGCCTTCCGGCAATTGACACAGTTACGAATAATCTTCTTAATTTGATTCTTCGCAAGAATCGGCCAAAACTTCTCTCTGATGGCGTTTAAGGTTGTTTGAACTCCAGCATGCAGCAGCTCTTTGTGATAACGTGTTATTACCAGGGCTGTAAAATGATGAGTCGCCGGTAATATGGCTGGATTCTTGGACGTTTCTTGTAACGCCGCATGCTTTAATCTTCTTCCTACTCGTAGTATCCCTTCCTCATCCAGAAAAGGATTAAGTGCNANNANTCTCGATTTACNACTGACGTTCNNTCCANGTTTTATNAGCTTTATATCTTCTTCAAATTCNTCAANTTGGATNATTTTGATTACTATTTTCTTTGCATCTTCAATNTCCTGTAACNCTATAGGTCCCNTTCTGCGTTCTACAGCGTCACNTCTTGTNTTATGTNCGAATCTTCTTACATAAGCTACTACACAAAATAACTTATACAAAGACGAATATCTCTTACAATCTAGTATCGGTTCAGTTATCACAGCCGTAGCAATCACAACGCTTTTACGTTTCTCAGGTACGTTTTCTAATAATAATTCTTTACCTTCCCTTGGCCACGTACTTTCGCTCGCTTTTAACCAGTGAGGCCCTTCCCACCATAAAGAAGACTGTTTTAATTGCTCTGGTGTGACTCCCCTCGAAATCAAATCNGCAGGATTTTCTTTCGATCCTACGTGCTGCCATTCAGAAGGTGAAGAACTATTTTGTATTTCACTAACTCTATTTGCTACGAAAACTTGCCATCTGTGCGCCGGCGAATTTATCCATGCTAACACTATTTTGGAATCTGTCCAAAGGTATTTTTCATGTACTTTCACGTTCAAGCTGGCTAATACACGGTTCATTAAGCTTATTAAAAGTGTGGCACCACATAATTCTAAGCGCGGTAACGATAACGACTTTAGTGGTGCTACGCGTGATTTAGAACAGATTAGGGTAATGTTTACATTATTTTTTATATCTTTTCTTCTTAAGTATACGCATGCCCCATAAGCTTTTTTACTTGCGTCACTAAATCCGTGAATTTGTACTTGTAGATCTGTGCTTTCTGAAATTAACGCTCTCGGGATTTCTAGTGTATTTAGAACTTTTAATTGTGATCTTATTTGATGCCAGGACTTAAAAATGTCCATTGGGACTGACTCATCCCACTGCACCCTCCGGGCCCACAAACTTTGTACTAATATTTTGGCCATCGTTACCACGGGTCCCACTAAACCTAGTGGGTCGAACAATTTACATACTTGAGAAAGCATATTTCGTTTTGTTACACGATTATCGGTCCAAATCGCGTTAGTCCTATAATAAAATGTGTCTGTCAACGGGTTCCACAATATTCCTAATAACTTGGATTCTGTTTCTTTATCGATATCTACAGAGACATTAGAGCATTGAATATTTTCAAGTATACGTGGAATGTTGGTGTTCCACTTATGCAATTCGAAACCCCCTTTTGATAGTAATTCCGTTATATCCTTTTTTATTTGAAGTAGATCGTCCACTGTATTTGCGCCTGTCAAAAGGTCGTCCATGTAAAAATCTTTACATATGATCTTCGCAGCTAGAGGAAAATTTACCTTTTCGATTGCAGCTAATTCGTGTATGCATCTAACTGCTAGAAATGATGCTGGTTTTGTACCGTACGTCACTGTCATTAATTCGTATTCCTCTATTTCTTCATGAGGATTCTCACGCCATAAAATAGTTTGTAACGGAAGCTGGTCTTTGTGTATTAGTATTTGTCTGTACATTTTCTTAATGTCAGCGCATAATACATATTTGAAACTTCTAAATCTAACAATTATTGTAAAGAGGTCTGATTGCAACACCGGTCCTTTATACAAAGCATCGTTTAACGATTTTCCTTTGGACCCTTTACTGGAGGCGTCAAAAACTACCCTAGTTTTTGTGGTATTACTACTTTCCTTTATAACTGCATGATGAGGTAAATAAACTCGTATTTCGTTATCAGACAATTTTGATGCATGTTTCATATGCCCTAAAGTTAAATACTCACTCATAAATTTCACATATTCGCTCTTGAGTGCAGAATTATTGGCAAATTTTCTTTCTAACGCGTATAATCTTTTTTGAGCTATTTCTTTAGAATTACCTAAGCCTTTTAATACCTCTTCCTTTACCGGTAATTTGACGACAAACTTGCCATCTGACTGACGACTATAACTACTTTTAAAATGTGTTTCGCAGTACTCATCCTCAGGAGTCATAAAATTCGAATTTTCGTATTGTTCTACTTCCCAAAATTTATGCACTGTATTATTCAAATCCTCAGCTAAGCTCAAATTACAACTCGTTTGTTTTTGCTTATTTAAGAATATATTGATAGTACCTGATACGAGCCATCCTAACACTGACTTTTGTAACACCGGCTGATTCTTTCCTAACCTTATTTGGCCTACGCAAATTAACTCCCAAAACCTTTCTGCCCCGAGCAGTAAATCTATTTTACCTGCTAAATTGAAATTTGGGTCAGCTAACTTGATATTCTTTGGAATGTTGCAATCAGATCTGACGAATTCAAACGTCGGTACGCTTTGCGTAATTTTAGGTAACACTATGCATAGTATATCCATATTAAATGTATCGAAGCGTGAAGTCACACTTAAGTTAACCGAGTTCATAGCGTGAGTTACATGCTGATTAATTCCCTTGATTTCTATTTGATTACTTGTGAATTTTAAATTTAATTTTTTAGCNAATTCTTCTGTGATAAAATTAGACTGGGACCCATTGTCTAACAGTGCCCTACCGATGATAGTTTGTCCATCACTGTTTTTTACCTTAACCACTGCTGTTGATAATAATACCTGACTTGTTTTCGTTAATTCGTTCGTCTGAGCGTGATTACATACGACATTCTCGTGATTTTTTGTTTCGGACCTTTGATTTGACATTTGCTTTCCCATTTCTTGCTTATGATTTTCCGAGGTATCGCGATCATCGTGTAACAACGTATTATGCTTTTTCTCACATATTTTACAAACCTTGTTTAAGCAATCTTTGGCGAAATGTTTCCCCTTGAAACAATTTAAGCACAGACCCTTGGATTTAATTTGATTAGCTCGATCATTTACGGATAACCTTTGAAATTGCTTACACTTATAAATTGGATGGTTATCGCTACAATGGATACATTTTACGTTTGTTATAGCAGCATGGGATGCTGTTGTTTTTAACGAACCAGCTTGACGTGTATTAGTACCTACTTGAACCGATTGACCTCGTCTAGCTACAGCCTCTAATGTTTGACATCTTCGTGCCAGGAAGTCTGTGAGCTCTTGAAAGCTGGGTATCCTCGTCGTGTCCAAACTATTTTCCCATTCCTTTATCGTGTAAAAATCCAACTTGCTAGTGACTATGTGTACTAATAAATCATCCCACTGTGAGATAGGTCGCTTTAACGCTCTTAACGCTCTTGTGTGTTTCAGAACGCCGTCTAACACTGTACAAATAGCTATGCCGTTCTCTTTCCTTACTAATGGTAAATCAAAAATAGCTTTAATGTGATTTTGCACTGCAAGTCTTTCGTTATCGTATCTATCCTTTAATCTGGACCAAGCATCGGCATAATTAAGACTGGATATTTCCAAAGACGCTATAGTTTCTGCCGCGTCGCCTTTCAATGCCGATTTCAAGTAATGAAAACGCTGTACGTCATTCAGAGTCTCATTAGAATGAATTAAGGAGTTAAATATATCATAAAATGGATGCCAATCTTCATAGGCTTCCGCAAATGTGGGCAAATCAATTTTAGGTAGTCTTATGTGACTATTATTTTGCCTCGGTATTTCGTTNATAAAGCCGATTGATTGATCCAGATCATTGTTTGTAGCAGCTGGTCTAACGCGATCTCTTATTATTTTTTCTCCTGATAACTTTATTCTAATGTATTTGTCCTCATAGCTTTCTAACTCCTCATCGATTTGTGTATCAGTCAAATTTTCGTCTAATACCGATAACTCTATCTGTATTTCTATTAAAGACTTCCATAATTCTTCTAACGTATTCAATCTTAATTTTACTTCGTCAAGATCGACTGTATCGCGCTCAATATTTCTCATAAAACTTTCTAATCGTGTGAGACCAGCTTTAGTTATCTTTTTTCTTTGTTTGATTTTGAGCAACTCTTCGTTGGATGCCATAATAACTGCGCTTTATATGTACGGAAACTATTCAAAATAACGAAATCTCGTAGTTAAAGTGATCGAAAAGATTGACTAACGTACATATGTATGCAAACAAAAAACTTTGACAATACTGCGTTGAGGTTGACTTACTTTCGAATCATTACCGCTAATTGCTCGTTACCGTACATAAATGCAGAACTTATACTATACGTTATGTGTATCTACGCTTCTCAGATCCTTCTTTGCGCGCTGTAACAGCTTTGTCCGCCTTCTGTTGTATTGGTTGCTTTCTCCTCGTGTGTAGTGGACGCTGTCTCCTCGCGCCGTAAGGACTACCTTTACGCCTT